GCTAGCGAGTGAGCCGGTGAGTGAGTCGGTAAGTGAGTCGGTAAGTGAGTCGTTAAGTGTGTCGGTGAGTGAGTCGGTGAGTGAGCCAAACTGACAGCCCCTGAGTAGGCCAGTGAGTGAGCCAAAACTCATTATTTTAATGGCTCAGATATTATAATAATAAAAGATCAATGTTTTATGGCCTCGCGCTCGCTGGTCTGCGGCGCATCGATCTCGGTGGCCAATGTCGATGGGACGAACTTAATTAAATTGCAGTTCTGCCCAACTTAACCTTAAAATTAATACACGTAATGTCACTCGATTGCTTGTACCACGAATTCACTAAAAATTTAAAAGCAGATGATATTATACAAAGTTCAACATATCGTAACAAAAAACTTTTCGGTCCACCTTCATTACCAGCACGAAAATTCTAGAACTCGGATGAAATAAAAAATTTCTTTGCGTTTAAATTTTTGGATAATAATAATGTTATATTTATACATTAATACCTGCATGTGGCTGAGCGGATTTACATCCATTAATCTTTTAACAGGGAAATATGAAGATATTACGTGCTGGAATTCTTGTTAATTTGAATAAAGCTTAGTACATTAATATCTAAAATTAGCACACAACGAGACGAAAATTCCATCGTTATTTGGACAAAACCTCATTCATTTTACTGAGTGCATATAATTTGATGCATATTTCAGTTGGAATGCATATCGTTTTAGGTTTGATCAATGGCAGGCCTTTTATCGCAGCAGGTTGAGTCCGGCCTCTCATGTTCAGAAACGAACATGAAAATCTTAAATTTGATCCAAGTCTCGGATTATTTCAGTGATTTGTTTGCTTCGGTTACTTTTTCAGCTTTGTTTTGTTATATATTTACCTACTATTTTTAATATTTACCTAATTGTGTTGCATATTTACCTAATTTTGTCATATATTTAGCTAATTTTGTTAAATGTTTACCTAATTTTTAAAAATGTTTACCTAATATTTTTAATATTTAACTAATTTTTTATATGTTTACCTACTTTTTTTTATATGTTTACCTACTTTTTGTATATATTAACCTAATTTTGTTACATATTCATATAATTATCCCAGTGGTGATCAGAGATGAAGAGGTTTAGGTTTCGTCTTCACTCACCCAACTGCGTTTCCTTATATATTGTCGCGCTTTATGTCAGAAAATATGAACATAATCGAGGTTTATTATCAAACTTCTATGCTCAAGAAGCCCTTAATTTTCTGAGCATGAACATTTAATTTCTTCACGTAAAGTCGCCGCAAAAAGCGGCAACATCAAAGTCGTGCAATGAAGTCGTGCCAAATCTTAACCCACTTGCCGGTCAAACTAAAAAAAAACTCAAAAACTGTAAAAATTTTATTATAATATTTTTCGTCATATTCCATTGCTCCACCTGTCGGTCAAACTACAAAAATTTTAATTTTAAAAATTGTCTTGAAATATTTTTCGTCATATTCCATTGCTGTAAAGATCTTACTTTCAACTATCAAGATTAATATTCTGTATGCTTACTTATAACAACATTTTGGCACAAGCAATACGATAAGGGAAAATGTATGTAATCGCCCAATATATCAGCTGCTAATAATATCAGCTGAGTTTGTCGCAAAAATTAACAAGAGCAGTCGAACGTTAACAATTATTATTTATTAATTTTCTATTAAATCCGCGATGCGAAGACATGGCGTCAGCATTCAAGGAGCCTTCATCCACAGTTCTCTAAGTACTTTTCCATTAGAACCTTGTTAAATTCACACCCATTACCTACTTATTGGCACCCATAATGCTCATTCATTTTACATATCCATGTCTCCCATACATTTCTAGTTATAATTAATATCACTTCTTCTTTAAAATGACTGTCCTTAATTTCCATTTATTTAAACCATTCTTCTCTCCGTTTTTTTACGTTGCACTTCAGCTGTCTAAATGCCTCTAATTTCCTACATGCATGACTGAAGGTGCCTCCCAATTGATAAATTCAACGTAAAATTGGCAACTCGACGAGCTTGCATGGATTTAAGTATACATTTTTACGATTTGGCTCCACCCAGTAAAACTAAACTAAATCTAAGCAGATATTAATTAACCTAAATTAAAACTAAACAGATTTAAATTAATCCGTTTTATTTTAAAAATCCTCGGGTAGTTTCCAATTCGGCGAGAATCCCAATTAACATGTTAAGACTAAAAATTATCGCAGGGTCATGCAGAAAAATTTTATTTTGTGAGAGATTTAAAGTTAATAACAAGACGTTTCTCATCCACAAGTTGGATACAATGGATACAATGTCCCTTATATCACCGCTAGTGTTCAACCATCCAGTGATGTGGGATTTTCCCGAATAATAAGATTACTACAATATTAATTTAAATTACATACATAAATTCATTTTAAATTAATACACTTTTAATTTTGCCGGATTTTCGAGCGTGGTACAAAAGTTAAAAATATGAAAGCCAAGCGGCACTTCGTCATCAACTTCATCATTGTATTGGTTTAACTTCTTTACATGTTAATAATCTGGACTGCGATTATTAATGTGTAATTCTTATTTCATAAACACAATTTATATCCAGGAGTTAAACTTGTCATTTATCACTATACCTCAGAATATTTCATTCACTTTAACACGGTTATAATCTTAGGTAATTGATAAGTCAACATTGGGCCAGATTGTCAGAGCACGCACACCACACATCCTTCTGTACCGGCCGCTTGCGTGCCACTGAGCGGTCAGGGCGTGCGAGTCTACCGATATACTTCGCCTCGGGTCGCTTTTATCAGAGCACAAAGGGCATCATACCTGCCGTGACCTTGCTTCCTGTGGTGCTGTGATGCAGGGAACCTGTAGTGGACGAACCGTGATATACTAACTATAGTGAACAAAATGCAATGCACGAACTGGGTTACACGAACTATGGTGCACGAACTGTGGTGCGCGAGCTGTGGTGTAAGGACTGTGTGTCCAAAACTGCAGTACATGAAAAGTGACGGGGAAAGTATGGTACATGTACTGCTTGATTATTGTACCCGCTATGAGTACAAACTGTGTCACAGCTCTGCCTGCCCTTTAAGCATAATGACGTTCTCGGTTCAGCAGCCTGTTTACAAATGACTTGGGGCTTTCAATGGTATGTTATCAATTATCTGCAATTCTGTAAAGGATAGACTTTGCACGTAATATGTCAATAATTTATATTTATTCATCTGAAGAAATTCACGCAAGAAATTTCGCTTCAATGAAGCTGGACGCATATGAGATATTCTCAACACAGGTGACGAGATACTGAAATATTTGGTGTATATACCGTAGATATGGTCCTGATTTTTACCTACTCATAGAAAATAGTACTACAGTCTTATAGAATAGAATAGAAGTGTCGGCGCTGAAGAAATAGGCCCATGGCCTGTTGCCGATTCATGAACTTTTCGTGACTTGATTCACAAGGGATCCGGCCTTTGGAACCCGATCTTTCCATAGCTGATTTAAGTTATGAAAACAATCAAAACCTGGCAACTGAAATTCAACAGGTAAAATTTCCCCCCGTGATTTTTAGGGAGTGTTTCTGTAATACAAATAATGTCTATGCGCTCGTTTTCAATCACACTTAATAGTTCACTTCTTTTGTTCAAAACGGAATCCGAGTTCGTGTAAAAACATTTTACAGCTTTTTGTGCACTTTCACTTTGATTCATGCGTTTATTTCTTACATTATTTACAGGTCTGGTTCTATGGACATGACTTCTTACTTGTCTTCCAGCTCCGCTGACTGACCGTGTGCGGTCGGTGTTGTCTTGACATCGTACTGTTCATAAGCGCCCATGTATCTAGCATTCTAGCGTTCACCTTTTTTTTGTATAACAGTTCTATTTAAATAGGTAGGGCAGGGCAATTATTTACGAGGAAATCATTTTTCCAGCTATTTTTTAACACGTTTATCTTCAAGGAAGGTATCAGGGAATATACATAGTTGGCCACAGCAGGTGCAGCTGACAAGCGGCACTCAATGCCAATAAACGTCATGTAATTCTAACCAATATACATTTTTAGCACACTTTCTCATTTATGGAAAAAAATGCACTATTGTGCTCGCTTTGTCTGTCTGTCTGTCCGTCCGTGACCTCAAGTTTTCGTCGACGAGAAAATGCGCTCTCTCACTCACTGCAGTGAGTACTGAGTTATATTTTTTATGTTTTTTCTCTCATAATTTCCGCCCCATTATTTTATACAGACTTGCAGCCACATTGTCTTACGTACTTCATGAACTGAGATCGGACGTGGCTCACATTTGCCATTTTTTAAGGGCTAACTCGCTAAAATGATCCCATCAAAGGCAAAAATAGGATTACTATTTGGACGAAGTCGCAATCATTTCTCTGAGAGTTCACGCCTTCGCTGTCACGTAACCATCAAGCACATTGGAAGAAATACTGTATCAAGTCCTAAACAAATTCAATCTCTGAGTAATGTTATATCGATCCTTCTTCGTGAGGCTGAAGGCTGCGAGAACATTTCAGAAAATCCACCAAAAATCTCTTAATATCAGAAACGGAGAGGGAAAATCAACCAATCGTTTCATTTAACATTCCAACAAGACTTCAGGTTCCGAGGTCCTAAATTCCTTATAACGAATTGACATTGTACCGCGATTATTGAACATAATACGCATACCTTTTGTCTACCGCGCAGTAAAGTTAATAGTTATCGCAACCACGGCCGGCATGCAGGCACGGTCAGCACTGCGGTTGAGCGCTAGATAAATTCAATAACTGATAAATAAAACAATAAATTAAAAATTGATAAAATAGGAAAATTTATAAATAAAAGTGTCTCAGGATCAAGCGCGTTCAGAATCAACGCCCGCGGGTACGATAAGATAAAACATCCTTCAAAATTCATAGAATTATAGCAAATGTAGTTGACCCAAGCCAAACAAACACTGAATAACGTATTTCAGAGGATGAAATGAAACAGCATTATTTCAAGAATCATTTTATTTAAAATGCAAGAGCAGTTCCTAAGAGAGAGTATTGTCCAAGCAGTGCAAAAAGCACCGTTCACTTACAGTGCGTTCCTGGACCCCGACTTCTTGTTTAGTTACTAAAAACTGTTCTAGAATAAACTCGATTCTATATCGCAATACGAAAAACATCAGAACATAGGAAAACCTTGACAACTTCCACTATTTATTGTGACTTCTGACGAGTCTGACCATAAGAGTTCACTTTCAAATAAAAAAAATGTTCCACTCGCAGAATAGTTTGGTACTCGAGCATGCTGATTATAGCGAAGTCAGGCGCTTGATCATGTGTCGAAAAATGACTTCATGTAGCCCGCTAGCAGCTATAGATGTCGTCTCGTTACCAACGTTGACTTTAGTTACAGACACCGCCACTAGTTACAGACACTGCCTCAAGTTACGGACATCAAGTCAAGTTACTGTACAAACAGACTCGTTCAGAGTGGCAAGTGACATTCATTGATGTTAAGGAAAAAACCAGCGGAGAAAGAGCAACACAACTGCTGCTGATGGTCAGAATAGTTTAAGGTCATCAACGTGTTATAATGCCAAGCAAATATAAACAAAGATAATAAATGTAATTTCGAAACACAATCGCAGAAAGCACCTAGCTGCTATGATTAGTAAATAAATAATCAAACAAGAGAACAGCTTCAAAAAGCAAGAACCGAACGAAGTGCAAGCCACAAATTCAATACTACTTCCACTAAAATATTATACAAATTAAAATTGATCAGTTAACTCAAAAGAGATTAATATTAATATACATAATGAAAAAATTATACGAAAATTACATTGCAAACAACATTAGTTCTAAATCCACATACATAACAAAAGAACATAAAACTGAGCAGATGAATCTAAAGAAAATAATTTAGTTCATTAAACATAAATAAGGGTCCGATAATATACGAATATGTAGGAACCCTGCACTCCTGACCACGTCCCTCAAATGCATGGGAGAAAAATCCTGAAGTAAGCAACAGGTGGTCACGTCACAAGGACTTGTGATGACCTGCATGGTCCAGCTACATAGGTTGATACTCACATGGTCCTACTTTACCAGTCAATACTAGCATAGTCCAGCAATGTGAAGTTGATACTCGCTTAGTCCAGTAATGAAAAGTTGATACTCGTATAGTCCAGCAATGTAAAGTTGATACTCGTATAGTCCAGCAATGTAAAGTTGATACTCGTATAGTCCAGCAATGTAAAGTTGATACTAGCATAGTCCAGCAATGTAAAGTTGATACTCGCTTAGTCCAGCAATGTAAAGTTGATACTTGCATGGTCAATTGAGGTTCATGCGTTACTTGGTGAATTTAGCAAAGTCAGGATGGAAGAATTTTCATTGGTGGTTTTGGCAAAATTACTCAGAAAATAAACTCCCTGACCAACATATCCCTCACTGCATACGATGTTAAAATTGTTCATTTATTAAATGCAATTAATATCTAATTAAAATACTCCGCGGACATCGAAGTATTACGAATGACTGATCCATGGACGTGAATGCAAAGCTCAATTTCAGGGAGTTCGTAACTTTACTAAAGAGCACAGCAAACGACGGGTGATCCATAGAATAAATTTTTGTCTAATTAAATTAGAGAAAGGAGCAACATGACCTCATTGTTAAAGCTAGCGTGTAAGTACTGCAGTATAAGCCACTAATGGAGAGGAGATTTGAAAACAGCTTTTAGCTATGAATGCAATCGCGCATAATCGCCCCACAACACAAGTCAATGCATCGTGGTGTCTAGCCACTAATGAAGGGAAATTAAGCAATTAACTAATATTATAGAGACGGGATGAAGCGACATCTAGACCATCATGGCTAGACGTGCTCCAAATACCATCGAGAGCTCCACTAAAGACGCTCTAGTCGACGGCCTTGTCGGTGTAGGTGATGCCTAACTAATATTACAGCGACGATATCGAACGGCATCTAGAGCACCATCATCACTAGACGCGCTCGATCTGTTGCCAGCACGAGCACCACTAGACGTGCATTGGTTGTCATCTAGAGCACCACTAGACGTGCACTGGTTGCCATCTAGAGCACCACTAGACGTGCTCTAGTTGCCAGCCTTCTCGGTGCAGGTGGTGACGAGCTGGCCGTTACGGACGAGCGTCTTGAACTGTTCAGGTACAGGGTGCTCACTGAACTCGCCAGTGCCAGTCGGCAGGAGGATGTTCATCTCGGAGCTCTTGGCAGTGATGATCTCAGCCCCCAGTGACGCCTCGCTCAGGTAGACCATGCAGCCGTCGGTCTTCTCGATGGCGATGGTCGGGACTTGACCCAGCACCTGGGTTTACAAAAGTTAGTTAAGTGACCATAATTTCTAGCTCTTCAGGTCGTGCTATTTCGCACCGAATGTCACGCTTGGAATCGCGACGGATCGCAAAAATGATGTTCATCTGTCGCATAAAGTGGATCATGTGATGCAGAGGCCTCAGCAAGATACAGGTTCACAGAGCTAATTATGAACCGATTAATAAAATAAACCTATTTATAATTCTGACACCTAAGTAATAGCACGTGAACTGCCTTATTTGCGGCAGAATATTTCCGGTCATGCAATTCATTCCAAAAAAAATGAGTATTGGGATAAAAGCGCATGGTGTGAGCTGCTAAAATGAGCCAAAATCGGTTGTCCATTTAATAATTAGTTTATCCAAATAACTTCGAATTCTTCCAGACAAAATGAATTTACAGACAACTCTATAATGAACACTTGTCGCGCTGTCAATTGTTTCGCCAGCACTTGACTGACCATGACAATTCTGGGAATAAAGCTCACCTGGGCTTGGCAACTCTGGCAATTGTGGTTACCTGGGCTTGACAACTCTGACAATTACGGATAACTGGGCTTGGCAACTCTGGCAATTGNTCTCATTATACTCCACGAACCTGCAACACCAGTCTCATTATACTCCACGAACCTGCAACACCAGTCTCATCATACTCCACGAACCTGCACATCACTCACATTACAAACGCACATTGTCCCACTATTTCTTCATTCAATAATAGATGGCTCCTTTCATTTTATAATAAATATTTGTTATTTAGTTATTCTATCATTTACTCGATACTGATATAACTACCTACATATTCCCGGATTCAAAGATTCATTATTATTGATGGAAGACTTCCGTATTCATTCATTGCTGGCATCAACTAAAGGAATGACACTTATGCAAACCGTGATCGTTCGACGCCCAGGACCTCACCAAAGAACTAACAACGTTTGAATAATTACTATATCAAGGCCTTGTTGATAACTATCTCTCACAATGTCAAGGGCACTCAAGGCTATAGCACAGAAAATCTTGAAGCATCTTGATATGATATCAAGTATTGGGCAACGGAAATTATGCAGCGTCTTGATATGATATCAAGTATTGGGCAATGGTAATTATGCAGCATCTTGATATGATATCATGTATGGGGCAATGGAATTTATGCGGCATCTAGATATGATATCAAGTATTGGGAAACAGAAATTATGCAGCATCTTGATATAATATCATGTATGGGGCAACGGAAATTATGCAGCATCTTGATATAATATCCAGGACTTGGCAACAGAAATTATTCAGCATCTTGATATGATCTAAGTCTGAGACAACAGAAATAAGGAAGCATCTTGATATGATAACAAAACTCTATTAGGGAATTTCTTGCCATTTCTTCCCCTCGAGCTGCAGCCTGGGGGGCTTGGCCACGGCCTGGACGGGGGCTTTGGGCTGCGGGGAGGCGCTCTTGATGAACGGCTTGGGGCCTTCACGCAGCCCGGGGTTCTTGTGGGTCTTCTGGTCATCAGGAACCTGAGGGGAGAAGTGAGGTGATGAAAATGAATAACGAGGTGATGCTATATGGAGAGCTATATGCTATGCAGAGAAAGACGCTAAATATATGTGTATCTGTGTGTGTTCATTTATTTCTACAAATGAAGTAAATTTCTGGACTCTGTAAAGAATATCGATGCAATAGACAATATTGGTAACTTGATGACTACTAGACAGTTGAGACACAGGCGGCTGAACAAGGATCCCATGGCGCAGAATAGGCAATTATTACAAGATAGAATTATGCAGCATCTTGAAATGATATTAAAATCTGATATCAATGAAATCTGATATCAATATTAGTCTGATATCAATGCCCCATCCATATAAATATATAGTATTATTATCTAAAAAATATTGATAATTCTGGGCACGGTAATTTAGTAATTATTATATTTTTATTTAAGCTATTTCCCTAACCTTCTTGAGCTTGGAGGTGATATCGAGTCCCTTGTTGATCTCCTGGAAGAGCTGCGCCGAGGCGTCCACCTCGATGGCCTTGGGCTCCAGCTTCACCATGGGGGGAGGGGGCGGTATGCCTCCTGCACACACAGGCATAAGGTTACACACTATACATGGCATACAAGGTTACACTACACACTATACATAGCATACAAGGTTACACCACACACTATACATGGCATACAAGATTGCACTACACACTATTCATGTCAATACGTTGTCCTCACCACGCGATCAAGAGGCTTGTGGGTCCTGGATACTCCTTGCCAAAGTGGAATAAATAATTATTTTGAATTGGAATCATGGAATAACAATAGGAAGAGAGAGTAGGGTGAGCAAAGGAATGATGATGGGAAGGAAAGTTTCAAATTATGAAGAGTGAAGACGTAACAAGAGAATGAGAGAAACGAATAAAAGAAAGAGATTGACATACCTCAAGTGGGGAAGTCTAATGGTAGAAAACTGACATAACAAGGAGTGAAGAATGACACGCCAAGACGAGGTCCTTCAAACGGAGAAGAAGTAAGGGGTGGTTTGTGGTGCTAGCAAATGCAGGAATGTGTTGGTGGTAGGGTGGGTAGGGTGTGGTAAAGAGGTACCTATACGATTACCGGAGATTCATGAAGAAGTAGACATAACAGCAGGACTGGAAAAGTCGCCTGACATTAAGACGAGATGCGACCAGGTAGAAAGAGCTAGACGCCTTAGAACAGAGGCGAGGAAGGGCGTATCAAGAAGAAGGAAAAATTGATTGGAAAAAGTGAGTGTGCATATACATATGTCGTGCCGAAATCGCGGAATTGAAGGTTCTATGGAATCGGCAGCTAGTTTTCCGAAGCTGTAGAATCAGCATTTCTTTTCTATAGGAATCTGGGGTTAGGTCAGTCAGCTAAGTTTTTTTTTAATATTTAAATATAAAGGAACTTCACCTCACCTTCTACAACTCTTACTGTTAATTTATGTTTTAACTCTAACGTCCTATTTTCTGAATCAGCAATGAAATGCTGACTATACAGATTCGGCAAACTGGCTGCCGATTCCATACGAGTCGAGTAGAGTCGTATGGAATCGGCAGCCAGTTTGCTGAATCTGTATAGTCAGCATTTCATTGCTGATTCAGAAAATTGGACGTTAGAGTTAAAACATAAATTAACAGAAAGAGTTACATATATATAAACTGAGACACGTACCGGGAGGGGGTGGGGGAGGAGCAGCCACCGCAGCCCCCCCTCTTGGGTTCCAGGACACCCCCGTCGTGTGGTACTCCTTGATGTAGTCGCAGAGCTCACTGAACACACTCGTGTAGGCGTTCACCCACTCCACATGCAGCTTGTCCTTCTCCCTGTAGTGTATAAAGCTTATAAATAACGGATAGATTTATACCATTATAATATTATAATCCTGCAGAGGAATATAGCCAGTGTAAACACATACCGGCACCTAAACACACATTATTTAATAAATTATAGTTTCATTTGATACTAATATTACAATACTGCAAAGCAACGTATGCAATATAAACATATATTTACTAGTTAAACGGTAATAATATATAGTTTAATATATATCAATTTTACAAATGAATCAATGAAAAGTGGGGAATGCAACATGAGCCACAGATAAGCCTATTGATGAAGCAGCAGTAAGTGACCTACACAACTATAAGATGTAATGAGCAGGAGTAGTACAATATGATTACCATGACGATATTGAAGACAATTTGGCCCCAGTGAAAAATACAGTCACAGTAATATAGTTGTTAACAGTTTATATGGACATACAAAACGTCACAATTTTGTAGTTAGCCCAATAGTTGACTCAAATGGTCCTGTCAGGGTTCGTACCAGTATTTAGAAAAAAAATTCCATGACTTTTCGTGACTCTACATGACCATCAATATAATTTTCCAAGACTCGTTTACGACAGGTTTAGGATGACTGAAAGACTAACCGAGCATATTCTATTGTCTTCTACAGTTGATAAATAACAAACGTGTAAATTCATAGCTCTTCATGGCTCTTCAAAGCTGCTTCCCCCATATTTGAAACATCGAAGTCTTTCAAGCACAATGTACATATCGCCATACCTTCAGGCTTTGGATGGCGAGCAAGCCTATACGATAAGCTTCTATTCTTAACCAACAGTTATGAAATTTACACTTTCCACTCATGGTGATGTAGAAATTGCATGCTGAAGATGGAACGCTTCCCCTACAGATCAAAAAGTTGACGAATGCGACTGAGCTTGGTGACCAGGCTCACGTGATTGGTTCTCCAATCAGAATGCATGAAACAAGAGACTGCACAAACAGTAAACACGCACAGAAATACACTTCCTTTTTAGCACATTTTCTCATTTATGGAAAAATGCACTATTGTGCTCGCCATGTCCATCTGTCTGTCCGTCCGTCCGTGACCTCAAGTTTTCATCGACGAGAAAATGCGCGCTCTGTCACTCACTGCAGTGAGTACTGAGTTATATTTTTTTATTTCATTTGCAAATTTCATGACTTTCCATAAACTGACATGAAATTCAATGACTTTCCAGGCCTGCAAAATAAAATATCAAATTTCATGACTTTCCAGGTTTCCCATGACCAGTACAAACCCTGTACTGTAAAATAAAAGTCAACCCGAAGTCCTGAATTCAATGCCCACCTGAAGTCCTTAAGAACTCTGTGCCCACCTGAAGTCCTTAAGAACTCTGTGCCCACCTGAAGTCCTTAAGAACTCTGTTGGTGTAGAAGACAGCAGCATTCATCATCTCCCTGCAGTACTGGGAGGGCGCAGGCTCCACGGCCACCCAGCTCAGACCAGGGATGCTCTCGCTCACGGCGCTCAGGTGATTGAACTGTGGCGACGAGCGCTTGCTTTCCCGGAACTTGATCACCTCTTGGATCTGCTGGCCAGTTGCTTCAAGAACCTGCAAACGCAACAAACATCAGTGTGTTATTTCCAAGATCTGCTTGCCAGTAGCTTCAAGAACCTGCAAACACAACAAACATCAGTGTGTTATTTCTAAGATCTGCTGGCCAGTAGCTTCAAGAACCTGCAAACACAAAGAAACATCAGTGTATTACTTCCAGGATCTGCTGGCCAGTAGCTTCAAGAACCTGCAAACACATCAAACATCAGTGCATCACTTTCAAGATCTGCTGGGCAGTAGCTTCAAGAACCTGCAAACACATCAAACATCAGTGCATCACTTCCAGGATCTGCTTGTCAGTAGCTTCAAGAACCTGCGAACATAAAAACATCAATGCATCACTTCTAGGATCTGCTGGTCAGTTGCTATAGGTAATGTCCAGTGCCATACTCAAAAAAAACTGCCACCGATCTGGACCTAAAGGCTGGTTGTTTACAGTACTGAACAAAATAGCATTCAGTCTTAAGCTAAAACATCACACCATGACATTCAAGAACTGTTGGATAATTTACCCTAATAATTCATATCTTATAACCCTGCTTGTAAAATGGCACAAACAACATGTCAGCACTACCTAGGCCTTCAAACAGCAATATCAGTTGATCATATGAAGTTAAAAACAAAGCAGCATCCTAAACACCAATAATACTCATTTTTTATAATGTTTAGCCTGTTCAAGCAATTTCACCTTAGGCAGCTGATCAGATGAAGGCTTAACGCTCTTTGCAGCCATCACAAGAAAGGCTCGCTGAGTCCTGAATGCAGACTCCACAAGTTTTGACATGGCAGCCACATCATTACCTGAAGATATTACATAAACATATACAATTTGATAGCCTAGGTTGAACACAAACAGTAGATCCTGTCATTGCTAAAACATTTTGGTATATAAACTAAGAAGGCAGTTAATGACAGAGACTTTAGATGCTTATTAATAGTTTCATACACAGGTAATGTTCATGCCACAATGAATGTCTTCCAAGTACAAAAACAATGTAAATTTGAAGAATCAAACTTTCCATCTCATAATTTTGAAGTTGACTAAAATTTCATTATAATTCATTTACCGGTACAGTATGTAAAATTGTTATAATATTTAGTAGCATCAACACCTATGGTCTAGTGTTTTATTGCCACAGGAAGCAACTCTTCACCACCCACCTATGGCATTGCTCTTGTCCAAAAAGATCTTGAAGGGTCCAGACAGGAGAGTGTCAAATGCCACCACAAATGGCACCGTAGATTGTTCTGGAAAAGAATGTTGAAACAAAAACAACAGTTGAGATGAGGCACACAACTTAAGTCAGCTGGAACAGCTACAATGCCAATTAGGCAAAAATTGTAATTAAACAAGCTCAAATCAGAAAGGTTATAAGACTAAAAACAAAATATGTCTTGCAAAGTTCCAAGATATTTCAAAAGTCTTTAGAATTATCAGAAGCGAATGCAAAAAAAAAACATTGAAATAAATTCCAATAGTTGTGATGCCCTAAAAACTGAAACAAGTCAAGGCAATCAACATCTTGAGGAGAAGGGCAAGAGGGAAAAACCTTGAACCAGAATCAAACTTCTCAGCCGCACCTGCAGAGCGCAAACAAGGGTCACCAATTGCACCAGAAACCACTTTCAAGCTAGAACAGTTTGAAAAAAAAAACATAATAAAAGATTAGTAAAGGACACAACCCAATTTAATTAAACTATATTAAAATTCTCTTTTGTCATGGTCAAAGTCAAGAAATGATGCCAGAACATCAACAAGGTATAAAGAGGAAATTTACATCATAGTTTAGATGAATGACTTTTCTCTATAAATAAATTACTTCTCATGCTTTATATAATTCCATATACTGTATAATTTGATCAACATAGAAATACAACACAGTATCATGAATCTGGCTAACAGAGCTAGGACAATTGTCCCAGAACAGAAACTGCACGACAGTTTCTGAAAATGCATGGAGCATATAACCTTCCCTACTTCAATATAAATAACTGTCATAGGTACATACGGTCATGAAAAATTCATGTTTGTAGTTTTAAAATAATTTAGAACTTCAATATTGCTGGTTGATGGCTTTGCAATAAGTTGAGTTTTGGCCAATCTAATCCTCAGTCCCTAGTATATATGTATAGCCAGTATAGGTATATCAAGGGGGAAGTAATGAAGGGGGAAGTAATGAAGGTGGAAATAAAGTAAGTGAGATGTGCATGACAAGGTAACTGGAGGAGCACAGCAAACTATGTGACTCACCACCAGCACCTGCAAATAAAAAACCAAGACATGAAAACAATTGAGGAAAGGAACCTGAGCTATGGAACTTGCTCTCAAACAATCAATCTAAGGATCCACCTGCATCAAGTTTGCCAAGCTTGAGCTTCACTGCAAGTAACAAAATTAGAAGATACATACAAATTTCTGCAAACCTTTTAGCATAACAAATAAAATCATGGCAGAAATTATTTGGTTGGTCAAATTCTTCAAGAAGAAATCTATGATCAAGAGAATTTCCACATAGCAAAGAGGTAATAAACCAAACAGGACAGAGAATCAAACTCAAATACGCAGAGCCTTGGACACGTACCACCCCATTGCTGCCACACTCGATTGTGAATTCTTACTGCAAATAATAACAAAAAGCAACAATCAAGAAGAAGAAATTTCTATTCCACATAGAGCTATATTGTTAGGAAAAAATTACAAGAGTTAAACTTATAAATTTTGAAAATGTTAATACCTAGATGCAGGGTCAACATAATAGTATTCAATTGATATAAGAAAGAAAAACTGTGAAAAATATTTTAAAAAGAACTAGAAACTTGAACACTTTTGACTGATAGTATCATTGAACTGATTCTAATGCAGAAACATGCTTCTATGCCAATAACTATACAGCATCAATATCCAAGCATTGATTTTGATCATAGAATTTTTATCTTGGATGGAGGTATTTCTTGCAGAAAATTTACATTAATTTTATCCTACAATCAAATATAATTGCAAGATATAGAATGAAATTCTACAACAAAAATGACAAATAAAAAGCAATATATTTTTTCCTGCATTATAGCAGATAGATTAAAATTTATCAGTCAGCAATAATGCAAAGAACAGAGCACTAATTCAAGAACTAAGAAAAATTTTAGAATTTTGTCAAGCACTTTTTGAAAAAATTTGATTTCATCAAATTGGTATGTGTGAGACTAATTGAGATTTTTTTTTTTGTTTTGTTTTCTGGGCCATGAATTCTCCTTGAGTCATTACATCTATTTGAATAACACCAACTACTAAGTTGTTAGAGTAGTTGGTGTTATTCAAATAATGATGAGTTTTGCATCACATCTCTGATTATGTCCTAAAATTTTAAAACAAAAATTTTTCACTTCAGAGAAAATGTAGCATGTTATCAAACTTATAATACATTCTTTTTTGTTCTCTTTCAGATGGTAGCATTTAATTTCTGAGGGATTATAAGGAAGCAGCTGCCTGACAAGACTGCAACCATAAAACCAAACATCTAAATATTTCAGGCAAAAACAAGGGACTGAACTTAAGAACATCAACTTTACATACTTTGTCATGAAATGCAACTTTAAATCAAACCCAAATATCAAGCCAATAAATTTGGAGAAAATGCTAATGCATATGGATATTTTTACTCATTTCTACAGCCCTTGTCCAATTTCATTGCCTATACAGAAATAGTAATAAAGAAAACCATTCCTTTTTTGCCTGCAGTTTTAAAAATTACCCACAAAGCTCCATTATAGTCAGTCACCTGGCACCACAGGGTGGGGGTGCAGCCGTGCAGTACCATGTGTCCAATTTTCCACTTTGACTACCTAAGTTCATGTATCAATCATGTACCTACTACTTCAAATCTGCTGTGGATTATATCTACCCCACTGTGCAGAAAGTGGGTGAATATCGCAATTCACAAAATCTTTGGCAATGCATCAGCAGCCAAATTTACACCTTCAGAACTTCTTGCCGACACATTAGGATTGAAATTATTGCATTCTAGATACCTATTTGCCAGTCTTTGGCCAACTATTTAGTAAATAGTTGAAAATCTGAAAGACCACAAGTGGCAGCCAGCAGATGCAGTGAATAAGATGAACAATAATAATTCTAGAACTAAGCAACGGTTGCTTGGACATGGGGTTCACGAGAGCATTGTTGATATGAGCACAGCGTCATCTCTTGGACTTGGCGGTACGGGCGGCAGAATCGTGTCAAGCCTCACTCTACTTTGCCGCTCCTTCAATAGATGGCGCCACACATCTGGCTGCCAGACAGCTGCCCGGTTATACGTGTTACAGTGCATGGCGAGTAAGGAATATACTATCAAAGTTGTTAGCAGCATTTTCTTATTACCACTGTGCAGAGAGTGGATGAATATTGCAAGATCTTTGGCGACACTTCAGTAGCAAAATTTATGCCTTCAGAAGATCTTGCCGACACATTTAGATTGAAATTCTTGCATTTAATATATTTGTCAGTTTTCAGCCAACTATTTAAAAAAAGTAAGGTTTCCAGTATGTTGGATGGATCAGGATGCAGTGAAGCTTGTCCGGAAATCAGTTGCAATGAGTTCACGCCAAAAAAATGTAAACATCAAGCTTACGATTACGTAGTTGCCATGGTCAGGAAGATGTGCCAGGTGCGCGGGAATTTATTTTGTCATTTTAACGACCTGCGCGGTGCGCCGTACTATGCTGGTAAAAAAATACGCTGTGCGCCGTACTTTAGAAAGCTAAAATAGTTTAAATATGGACGCGCGGCAACGCAAATTACGCAATCGCACTGACCGTACACACAAACATGTAGGTATCCGCATTGTGTTGTGGTTGGATATGAGTTTACTAGATTGCTAACGCGTTAACTCAGGTTCTAAGAGTCAGCACAGTTATGAATATTCATTCATAGATCACAATTCAATCGGACACAAATTACAAAACTAAAGAAGGCAACATGGCTCTAGATGTGCCATTGGTGCCTTCTAATGAATGACTGGAGTCTGGACTGGTTGCGGCAAGTAGGGTATGAGTCAACAGTACGAACCTGCATGCCAATGTTGGGACTACATTCCCGACATCCTCCCGGCTGGCAAAATTGACACGATCAATACCTAATAACAATGCGCGTAAATGGACTATACAAATTAGGTCAATACGGCATAATTACAAAGCGTTATTAAACTATGCGATACAAAATATGACTAAGGAACTATGCGATATTGAATGGCATTATTCATGCAAATCTGTATCTATTAGACTTTTACATTTTAAGATCTGATGGAAGCAGCGAGGGTCCCTAACAATACAAGGATGTACCGGTATATAAAAACATTAATGATCTAGAAGCGGGCTTCGAAAAAAAAAAAAACATTTCAACCTGGCTCTAATTAAATAAAGATCATTACTTGTAGTATAATAAACATGAAGTCTCCCTATTAAAAAGTTATATTTTGTTGGTCATCAAAGATCAAAGTTTATATCAACTACGCGAGTCGAACTGACAATAATAAAATGTTAGACATGTCCGGGTTACTTCTGACTCTTCCGCTTGTCCGATACGGAACGTACGGTAATCGTAAACTGTGGCTATTATACATACGAAATGTAAACAGAGGTGTTCAGTGTTGCCATATGACTTTGGAAAAAATTTCTTCTAAAAATAAAGTTCTAGATTTCTCATTCACCAAATTTCCGTGTCACGAAAAATCATATATTATTGGAAGATAATTAAAGGCATACTGTACTGAGTATTACGTCTGTTCCTCCACAAACTGCTCGTGCGCGACAGCGCGACGTAGAATTGATGGCCGGGATTGCGCCAACACGTGCACGAAGAGAATCAATTTTCATTACATAGCGCCAACTGTGCTTAAATAGCTTAAAAAAAGTGAAAATGCACGGGAAAATTCACTGAAAACATACATCATCCTGAGTGTGGCGTAGTTGAGGTCACATTAGAGCGGTCAGACTGCATTATCACATGTTCAGTTGACACTTGCTGTACAATCGGAGTTTTTAGGGTAAAACCAGTTATTTGGGGTAACACGTGCATGCAACCTTGTAAATAAGTTCGTGGCTTGTAAATAGTTTTTTATTACTCAGCGTAAATGGCTTTTCATTAAAAATTACCTGGCGATGCATCTTAAAATTACCCGGCGCCGCTTAGGGCTTAAAAACCTATATATTGGTGACGCTGCATCCACCCTCTGCCATGGTGCAATTCTATAGGTTATTCAAAAGAACCTGGTCTTATGTCATTTTGAACCAATCGACACTTCTTTACGGACCGAGGACCGATCATGTAAAATTCGGTCCACCACGCCCCACGGCCAGTGTAGCTGTCAGCTGACTTTCTTCAGAAGTGCAAAAGCTTTTGCCGGTGAAGGTCACAGAAGGTGTGTTTTACGATCGGTCCGTAAAAAAGCGTTGATCGGTTCAAAATGACAAAAGAACAGGTTCTTTTGAATAACCTATGGATTGCCACCATGGCTAGCGTGAAGATGGGAGTCCAGTTTGGCACTGAAATGGATGGTTATTTGTGAATAATATTTTTGATTGTGATATTATAACATATTTCTGATTGTGAAATAATTTTGATTGTGATATTGACACTTGACAGATATTCAACATTTGAATATCAAAGTTCTAACATCATGAATTACAAGGTAAGAGTGTAAGGACTTAGCAAAGCTAGAATCATGGCTGAGGCTTAATGGATGTCATTGTAATTTTTTACGTCATTGATATCATTATGGAACCAATGTAAGTAACTAAAGAATTTCCCAGTTCAAATATTTATTGATTTATTACTATCAATTTCGAAACTCCACATATTTCTAAAGGGAGTTGTGATGAGACCATGGGGATGGGGTCGAACTGTTGAGTTTAGACCATTACAACTTGCAAGAGGGGCCCAAGGGCATGGGGCCTTGCGAAGGGTCAAGACTGCCACACGGTGGTGGACCGATAAGTACTCACAATAATTCCCTGCCACCATGCCCTCTGCACCCTGGTCTTATTAAAATTACCTGGCAAAAAATCGTGAAAATGGCTGGCGATGCAGCTGACGCTTTGGGCTAAAAATCCATATCTTGGTGATGCTGCTTGCACCTGCTGCACCAGTGCACCCTGGTAACCTGGTAAGTGGTATCTACCATTAGTCCATTACATTATGACCAAGATTATGGCTTTCCTGTTATTTTTGAAGCCACAACCCAAAAGACTCCCACAGATGAATTAACTCCTATTTTACTCTTAAAAAAAGCCACACTCAGGATGATGTATGTTTTCAGTGAATTTTCCCGCACATTTTCACTTTTTTTAAGCTATTGCTGTGCACAGTTGGCGCAATGTAATGAAAATTTATTATCTTCGCGCATGTGTTCACGCAATCCTGGCCATCTTTATTTTAGAAGAAATTTTCTCCAAAGTTATATGGCAATACTGAATACCGTCTGTTTACATTTCGTATGTATAACAGCCGCAGTTTATGATTACCGTACGCTCCGTATCCGACAAGGCGGACAACTGGAAGAGTCAGAAGTAACCCGGACATGTCTTACATTTTATTATTGTCAGTTCGACTCGCGTAGTCAATATACTCGCGCATATTGTCGACTAAAATAGTAGAACTATTTTAGCTTGATCAAAAAACTATGATTTAGTTTTCATTAATTTAATGTTTGATATATTTCGGGCATAAATTTTCCATCCTCACCTGCTCTGTGCCACAAATGATTTGGGTGACGTTTGAAGTAGTTTTAATGTGCACATTCCACGTGAAACTAACATCTCGCCCAATACTTAACTTCAGGAGCCGCTACCAAAATTAGGCAGCACCAAACTAACTATCTCGTGGAATTGATGGCTATTTATACCATCTTGAAACTTTTTAAATAAAGAAAAGATTTCTTTAGCCTCCAGTCCATTCTTGTTTTGCTTGCCTATATCTTCATTTATCAGCTCGTTCCTCAAAGTTTTGTTCATAGCTTTCTAAAGTACGGCCCACGGCGCATTTTTTTACCAACGTAGTACGGCGCACCACGCAGGTCATAGTGGCAAAGCAGAGAGTTTTTCAGACTCTCCCTCAAGTTCATTTTTGAGTCCTTTAAGTAGACCAGCAAATTATCCTGGATACCTGCATTATCATACATAAGAAAGTGGTTTAAATCTTGAGTAAATGAGGAAATTAAAAATGAACTGATTCTAAAAAATCTCTGGTTTGACAGGTTTGTCACTATGGCGCAGGTCCTTAAAATGACAAACAAGATTCCTAATGTACGATATTAAAAATTTATCATTTTGGAGCCATAAGATTTTAGTAAAATGAAGGAAAATCCCAATCCAACAGTTCAATATAAACTGGGCTATGAAAAGAAAATCAATTAGGGTTAAGCAGTATCTAAATGTCTTACCTCCTTGAGTCATGATAAAGATTAATTCTGATATCTTCAAGAGTTGAGTGATCTATAGAATAGATGCTGAAATACAAGACCAGTCAAAAATGCCAAGGGCAATGCTAACAAGTAAACAGACAGAATTTAGGCTATGCGTCAAAACAATTTCCACACTAAGTAGGCTATCACGAAATTATAACATCAGCACGACAGCACCAATGCCCAGATATAATGTCTTTGAATAGTCAATAGTTACTGAGTTAGCAAATTATTGGATAAGTCAAACCGTCAAACGTGACTCACTGACGACTGAACCTGCAAGAGATAGCAAGACGGAAACTATGATAGCACCGCGAAGATAATGAAAGTCAGGGCTTGGCTGCGAGCGAGTCGGAGTGAAGTTGTGAACAAAACAACTGTGCAAATATTAATATAACATTTTTTTAAATAAAAAAAGGCATCTATATACAGTTGGTGTTTATTTTATGCAGGAAAAGTTAAACTACTGCATACTTTATAGATGAGCATTTAATAAGTACATTCAATTTATTAAAGACAGTCAGCCGGCGTAAGGTTAATCGCGACACAACCTCCTCCTATCTCCAGTCAGCAACTGAAGCTCATTCTCAGCCTGAACCGGATGACAGGAAATGAATGCGGATCGTGATTCAATTCAATTCAGTGATTCAATCACTTCATTGAATCAATTCAGTGATTCAATATAAATCAACCTAAGAAGTTTTTATGCTTATTTTTCCATAGTGCAGCTAATTAGTGGCTATTTTTGATATAGATAACAATTGCTGATACTGATAGTTTCGTAATGATCTTTCAAGGTATCATTGCTACTCATGGTGCAGTGTTACTGTTGGGCACTCATCCGATAACCGCTAATTAGCGAAGCTAACTTTTTCCTTATTGGATTACCTTTTCAGCTAACTTTGAAAACCATCAGCGGACCAATTAGCTTCCACTGAATTTAGTTCCGCTAACTGGCAGTCCGCTATAATTGTTTAAAAATCTATTTTGATAGAAAATTCAGTCGTTAAATTTTAATGCTAAGTATCGTTAGCCGTCTGCCACACTGATGGCTGATGGACATATGTACGTCAACCAATCACGTCTTATGTTACTGCTACATATTGTAGTAGAAATATAACAGCCTCCCTGATAGCATCGTTGAAGCTCCGAGTATGAACATCTTCAAAAACAGACTAGACGAAGCTAACATGGCTTTATTGCCGGGAGATCCTGCACCACTAACCTCTTGTCGACTCTGAACGAATGGACTCGCCTGCTGGACGAAAGGGAGCCAGTAGACGCAGTGTACCTCGATTTTGCCAAGGCATTTATTCAAGGTTTTGCCTGTCAACCCAGAACAGAGTTATTCGTAACTTTGACACTATGACGTGTTTGGTTGATGCAGCATTTAGAGGTTGATGTTCATCAAGGGCAAAAATCATCGCCTCGAGGAGACGTGAGGAGATGAAAGGCAAGCCAAAGTAAGAGCAGTTTGTAACCCTGCTTTTGCCTGCGTGTTCTTATTTATTATTATTTATTCTTCATTTAATAAATTTTTATTCGTTTAATAAACCGTTTGTTGAATGTCAAAAGTTGTTTAATTTCATCTGTTCATTTATGTTATGTACGTCTTGATCATCATGTGGTCTTGGCATGCTACACCTTTTTGGAAAACTCATTGTCAATGCTACGAGTCCTACAACATATTCAAAGTTCAGTTCTCTAGTTCTATTTTTCAGAGTTTCAGAGCCCCCAGAAAATTAAGCCAAATATAAATTAATTTGCTTTAAGGTAGCAGTAAATTCAGCTAAATTTTCCGCTGATTTATCGATTGAGCGTTATCGAAGCTAACTTTTCGGTTAGCTGTGCCTACCATTGCTTATGTCGCCATTTACCACCAGTTGGAAACAACGACCATGGAAATTCGACCGCGACACCTCCAGCCGCGATGTCAGGCTTATTCCTCCTGACTTAGGGTACGCACACAGTGAAAGCAGGTTTGCCAGCGCGGGCAACCTGCCACAAGAATGAACATAGGATAATAATGTAGGCATTCACAGTGAAAACCAATACGAATAGGCTTCTGTATTCTATGGTTTCAGGCGCCAGCCTGAGCAGGTAACCAGCACGCTGGCAACCTGCTTCCACTGTGTGCGTACCCTTGGGCTGCCAGAAGAACGACTATACTGCTTCTTCAGCGTCCACAGGAGCGATGCAGAGGAGCGTCAAACAACTCAATCTTGTGCCTACAATATGGAATTTCTATCACCTCTGCAAGCAGAGATCATAGTGCTGTGTGGTTTCTGGATACATCTCCAAGGCGAAAGAATTAAACATACCGAAAAGAAGCCTGAGCGAAACTTTCTAATATCCAACCCCCACCTGAACGGCTGAGCCATTGACAGATTAAGTTGATTTTTAGCGCATTTTCCCATTTATGGAAAAAATGCACTATTGTGCTCGCCATGTCCGTCCGTCTGTCTGTCTGTCCGTCCGTCCGTGACCTCAAGTTTTCGTCGACGAGAAAATGCGCTCTCTGTCACTCACTGCTGTGAGTACTGAGTTATATTTTTTTACAAGTGTCTTCCTTATCTACCAATAATCTTCATTCACCAATTAAATTCCTGTTAGCAATTTTATTAATTTTGAATTTTAGCTTACACACTTCACTTCATCCATAACTATAATTAGGACGAGTTGTCCAATAACACAAACCTGTAAGTACAATAAGGACATTCTCCCAGTCCAATAGTCCCAGAAAATATTTCTTCAGTAAGGCAACCATGTTGTGGGGGTTCACTTACCAGCAGCAGTGCAACCATTGGCCATCCTGGGTGGGGGCAGGGGGGGACCGCCGACGGTTGCCCCGTGGGCCTCGAGTTTAGCAACGGCCGCTTCCAGTCGAGTGACGAGTGCAGTTAACTCCGCCATGTTATTTTCTGCAACAAAAGAAAAAAACTCGTTTTTATTCTGAAAATCAAAACAATTTAAGCAATTAAAAAATTAAGAGGACATAGCGCTACCGAAAAAAATATAACTCAGTACTCACTCACTCACAGTGGGTGACAGAGAGCGCATTTTCTCGTCGACGAAAACTTGAGGTCACGGACGGACGGACAGACGGACAGGCAGACAGACATGGCGAGCACAATAGTGCATTTTTTCCATAAATGAAAAAAATGCGCTAAAAATCGGCAAAGGTATTTTTTTGCAAGATTCGCTCAGCCTAAATAAAACAATTGAATTAGATTATATTGATTAAAATTATAAGGCCTACATTTTTGGGCCAGACATCGTAGAAAATATAGACTACTAAACGACGCGTATGGAGGTTTGAAGTCCGTGATGGCGAAATTATACGGCAGCGGCTAACACTTTGCCTTCAAAATGACCACAACTTTAACCCAAATCTGCAGGCTTAGAGGAGAATGTGCGCGAGCTCTCCTCATATTATGTTGATGGGGAAACTGTTGGTCTGGGTTGAAAAGTAACACGTTTCTAATGTCATTTCTTATTCATTAAGTGCATTTTGTATACATTTATTTCTGAACTTTTCATTTTGTTGAAATGTCACCGTGTTTCAGAAATGTTCTTAAACTATACCATATCAGTGTAGAAATAATAAATACTGGCATTGTAAATAACCAAAAATTGTCTTCATTAATAATCATTCTGCCCTCAAACATTAATTTACCATCCAACGAGGCATCAAAAAGTTGAGGCATCAGAAAGTTCCGACGACAGAATGCTACCTTTCTCGTTCTGCTTTTCCTTTTTTGTATCAATGGCCATGCACAATAAATATTTTAAATATATTTACACTCGTACAACTAAAATTACGTTGAATCTAAATTAATTTAAGTGTAAAATTAAATTACAATAATTTTAAGATAAAATTTTCTGGGCATCTAAGGCTAATACTTTATGTGCATTCCCTCTGATGAAGATCCATACTAGCATATTATGATAAGTTCTCGAGGATTGTGCCCAGCAATCAATTAACTGAATCGTTCATCTTTAGTGCAATCGCATATGTTACGGTCCTGGTTATCAGGTCTGATGACCTCCAGAGACGCAGTCCCCAGTCACCAAAAACTGTTAAACACTTGAACATATTTTGTGCTTCTGCCAGCACTGCACCTAGGGTCGCTCACCTCCTGCCAGCACTGCCCCTAGCTAGGGTCGCTCACCTCCTGCCAGCACTGCCCCTAGGGTCGCTCACCTCCTGCCAGCACTGCCCCTAGGGTCGCTCACCTCCTGCCAGCACTCTCCCCAGGGTCGCCGCTAGTTCACCAGGGTTCGGCGCCCCCTCCTCCATGGTTCCCTCCCTCTCCTTCCTCCAGGAGCTGGTCATGGAGCTAAGTCTGTTACTGAGACGCTTGGCTCTCTCCACGACGGCCTCGGTGTGTGGGTCCCGTGGTCGCAGGACCGGTTCAGGCGCCCGGTCTCGGTCACCGCCATTGACGGTGTTTTTGTCGCCTTCTCTTAGTTTCATGTTTATTTGGTCGCGTCTCTCCTTCTGTTCAGTTAAATGCATGGCTTCTGTTGCACTTATAGTCACTGTTGTGCCGTAGTGTTCCTGTTCTCTGTTAACAACGCGAGGTGTATTTCCGTTGAGGGCTATCTGAGAACCCAAACTCGGGCCGTACTCAGGAGTTACTGGACTCACTGGTAGTTTGTTCTCTAAAGTTCTCAGTTCTCGTGGGGTTTTCTGGTCACGCGTCACGCAGCTACACGAGCTTCCCATATTGTTTACATTAGAACATATACACTGAAAGTTCTACTGTTGCTTACATTAGAACATAAACACTGAAAGTTCTACTGTTGTTTACATTAGAACATAAACACTGAAAGCTCTACGGCACGATCAGATCACATTCTGTTGCTTTGGGAAGAAAATTTTTTTGGATATTCTTAAATCAATATTTTATAGAAATTTTTTGTCAGCAGCTAACTTGCTTTTGTCTCCTCAAATACTGCAAAATGTCGATTTTTTGGATATTCATATTCATATATTCATCAATTGTGAGAATGAATGTGTTCTGAAATAATGATACGGTGCTCTGTAAGGATGATACGGTGCTCTGTGAGGATGATACGGTGCTCTGTAAGGATGATACGGTGCTCTGTAAGGATGATACGGTGCTCTGTAAGGATGATACGGTGCTCATTTTTACAATGTAGTGGAAAATGTAACATGATTATTGTAGCATGTCAAATAAAGTAACAAAATGAAAAAGTCAATCCAGCAACAATATCAAAACGTTAACAGTAAAACCTAACTGATAAGATGACGTCATGCAGACGAGGTGACGTCATCACTCAGCCATGGGAGTGGAACGTCATTATCCACTCAAAATAACGATTGTGTCATGCTGTCAAAACAGTGACACACTTTCTACGTGTAGCACTGATACCCAGTTTTGCCTGTGTCAATATGTCGTAAATAAGGTAGAAAGTGCATCGTTATTTAGACAAAGTCTGACTCATTCCTCTGAGTATATGAGGCTAGCGACGCGAGTAACGGTGACGAGTCATGGCTGGTTTAGCACTGCACCTGCTGCGTTCCTTCTTCTCTTCATACAAACTTTGGTGGACTTCAGGCATGGATTTTGGTAATTTTTAGGGACCGGGGCCATACTTTTTAAAACTCGCTAAGTGAACGTAAGTACTTACGCTCTATTTTCTTGTCAATGATTGGTGGATTTTGCTTGAAAAGTCGTCAATGATTGGCTGATGAACTTACGATCTCTTAACTTTTTTTTAAGGTATAGGCCCGGAAGCATTCTCAGACATTTGGTGTGAATCTTATCGTCTTATGAACGCTGGTTTGAACAAAGAACAGACTGGGCCGTACTTCCAAATATATTGATGAGTTTGTAGCTCCGTCAAGCAATAATTAACTGATGGCTTACTAAGTTAAAGCCACCAATCATAGAACGAGAAACCTGCTGCTATGTGCTCTTAGAACGCTATGTACAATTATGCCGCTACATGTACTTAGACGGCTCCGTGCACTTAAGCCGCTACGTGCACTTAGGCCGCATCGTGTACTTAGGCCGCTACGTGCACTTAGGCTGCTATGTTCACTAAGGCTGCTACGTGCACTTAGGCTGCTATGTTCACTTAGGTTGCTACGTGCACTTAGGCCGCTACTTGCACTTAGGCTGCTATGTTCACTTAGGCCGCTACGTGCACTTAGGCCGCTATGTGCACTTAGGCCGCTACGTGCACTTAAGCCGCTTCGTGCACTTAGGCCGCTACGTGTAGCTAGGCCAATAGTGCACTTAGGCCGCTACGTGCACTTAGGCCGCTATGTGCACTTAGGCCGCTACGTGCACTTAAGCCGCTTCGTGCACTTAGGCCGCTACGTGTAGCTAGGCCAATAGTGCACTTAGGCCGCTACGTGCACTTAGGCCGCTATGTGTAGCTAGGCCGCTACGTGCACTTAGGCCGCTATGTGTAGCTACGCAGCTACGTGTACTTAGGCCGCTATGTGTAGCTAGGCCACTACGTGCACTTGAGAGAGTTCTAATAGTACGGCCGCTGGTCGAGATTAATCACCGCGCAGCCAACGAACAGCTTCAGAGGACAAAAATAAGTCTGATGCTCAGCTAGGTTAATCCCTGCCCCTACCCCACTCTTACGTCACTCTATTCATTAGTCACTTTACTCTGCCCACCCTATACCCATCCCCTCTCTTCATCCTTTTCCCACCCTCTCCCCAACCACTCCCCACCCTCTCCTCACTCTCACCCCACCCTCTCCTCACCCACTCTACACCCTCTCCGCAACCCGTAAATCTAGAACTATTATATCAACATCAGCGAACTCGCATAGCTCTCGAAAATGAGAATAATTTGATTAATTTATTGTCTTATGAAATGAACAAGTTAACCTCATCCCTCCGACACACGCGGCGTCCCCAACACGTGGCGTCTCCAACACACGCGGCGTCCCCAACACACGCGGCGTCCCCAACAAACGCGGCGTCCCCAACACACGCGGCCTCCCCAACACGTGGCGTCCCCAACACACGCGGCGTCCCCAACACACGCGGCGTCCCCAACAAACGCGGCGTCCCCAACACACGCGGCGTCCCTAAACGACAATTAAAAGGCTAATTTTCGTTGTCAATGTTAACAACAAACAAACAAACAAACAAACAAACAAACAAACGCGAAGCTAAGCTAAGAAAAACGTTTTAATTATACAATTCATATAAATGTTTAAAACATTTCGTTCCAAGTCGGAGAAAATCGAGCGACTTTGCTCGCATCGCAGCCGAAGTGGATAAATTTTCGAACTTTCCAAATAAATTGAGCCAATTTTTTCTGGCGGCTAAAAGTTCGGGTCTTGACTCACTTTTGATTTTATTTGTCTGGCATAAGAATGGAAAATAAACGAGGTTATATATAAGAAATTCCTGGCACAGGAATGAGGGCAGGATGACAAATTCCTGGCACTGGAATGAGGGCAGGGAGACAAATTCCTGGCACTGGAATGAGGACAGGGAGACAAGTTCCTGGCACTGGAATGAGGGCAGGGAGACAAGTTCCTGGCACTGGAATGAGGGCAGGGAGACAAGATCCTGTCACACGCGGTGCTGGCAATGCTGCAACTCGGAGTTCAGTTTCGTGCCCTGTGCCCCGCGCGGCTCCTGGTAATCGACTGGGCACTGCTGCTGGCATTACTGGCACTGCCGAGGCAGCTGGAAGTCATCCAAAAACCGCTGCTGGGATTTCAAAAGTATTGAAGGCTGCTGGCAGCCGTTCAGAAACCGCTTCTGGCATTGCGCGACCAAATGCAGCTGCTGGCAGCTGTACAGTAATCGCTGCTGTCACTGCAGTGCCAGCTGCAGATGCTGGAAGTGTTCGACCATCAGTTGCCTCAAATATAACTTAGTGACAATCCAAAGCTGGCAATAAAATTTCCAAGACAATCATCGTAGTAATAATTATTGTGATAATTTGCCCTGACCTCAATTTAAATTACACAAACCTGGCATAATACTGACAAAAATACTCACTTTTGCCTCTAACCCGACCCACTTTTGCACTCGCTATATCCCTGACCCAATTCCTCACTCACCTTATGGCGTAAGTTGAATATCTTCAGTACGGTAGAGTATTTACTCAGCACTGCCGGTACACAGAACTCACGATACTTGCTCACTTATAATGACTTTCTTTAAATCACTTTTTCACTTAATCGAGTTTCCTAAATAAATTTTTCATAAAATAAACTTTCTTACTAACTTGCTCATTTAATTAACTTTGTATTTCTTAGTTTGCGAACCAAAAACTCTGCCCAGTCACGACATCAACGCTATTAATGACACATAAGTCGGCAAATACTCCATACATGCATTCAACTCGACAACTTTCTCTAAGAAATGATGTCAGAAAAGTACGAATTCATGCATTCTGTTGTGTTGAACAGGGTGGCCAGGTGGCCTAAGAAACGTCAAAGTCCGCGGACAAAAAAAACTGAAAAAGGCCTGTAGCTCAATATATACTAGTATATATGTATATTCCGGTGCAGAAATTCAATTTTTTATTTTCGCACATTTTAAAATCTAATAAGGAAGTACCGCCATCATGAATTTATGCCAGCCAACGTAACATAAAAAACTAAATCGTGTAATTTTTCTTGAAGAAAAATACCATCTGGCAACCTGGTGTTGAATGCGAGAAAAAAATGTCACAGCTGTTCAATCATTTAATATGGGCTCGTTGAATTCTATTTTAAATACATCGCTTCCATTTAAGAACAAAGACAAGACTAGCCGTTGATAGTGACATTACCAGTGCTTACAAGGAGAAAGTTATTGATAATTAATATAATCCCGCCATGAAATTCCTGACTTCTTATGAATTCCTAATCAACGGGGATTTTTCCTCGTACTCATTTCTGTGTATTTTTTGGATTTTCATGCCGATAATTTGATTGTTGTTTCCACGAAAATTGTTTATATTGCATAAGTATTTATTTCTCGTTTAAATAAAAAGTATTTATTTCTCGTTTCAATTTAGCGGTGGCAACAGGACTTTTTCAGTAAAGAAAATTATATAATGTTCAATTAAAAACCATTCGGAGTTGAATTGTTTACAAGTAAGTTAACTAATTTGATCAGTGAAATAGATTTGTCTCTTAATGTTTGAACCAAATCGCCCTCCCAATGCATCAGCATTGCAAGCATGATTTACTGTTAGACACAACGATGCTGTTCATGCTAGGGCACATTCAGGTATTGTGAACTTAGAGGTTATAACAATTTGTATGCATCTTAATTTCATTACACCTCTTGATATTAATCTATGAGACATGAGTAAAACTAGACTCTTTTTGGACATTAATAAGATGTATGACACTCGTTATACAAAATCTTGGCGAGCGACCGTGATCAGCTTTAATTATTGCCTAGGGCAGGGTGGCCCAGTGGTTACAGTTCAGAGTACCAGGATTGGAGCAGAGAGGCGCGGGTTCGATCCCAGCTCTGTGCGCCAGTTTCTGGAGCCGGGCGGTTAAGCACAGCAGAATTGAAGCAGTGAGCTGCGAGTTCGAGACCGCAAGAAGCTGTGGATGTTCTGCGATGTTAAGAATCGGCGACTGGCCTACGGCCTACTAACGCTGAAACCGCTATTATTATTATTATTATATTATTGTTTGGGTGAGACTTGGGGTTAGTCTTCACTCTTCCGGCCTGGGGGTGAGTCAGCGATCACAAGTTATAAACATGGTAGCCTACTCCATCCTAGTCATTGTATATATTTGAAGA